TAGAACCCACTCCTTCTCTTCATTCACTGACAGCATCTTATTTCAGGCAATCCATCATCTGTACGCTCTATTACTTCCATAATCCCCTCAATGAACTCCCTGCCTTCAGTTCTACCCCTCCCAAACTGTCCATCCTGGCCCTGTTGGAAAAGATGATTCTTGGGTCTTATCCACCAGCCTACTAAAAAGTTTCACACCTTCAGGATAGATGCTAACTACCAACTGAGGCAAACAAACCTATGTACAATCTGGACCCCATTCTCCTCCCCACCACCCTCCTGTACCCCTAACATTTGCACACTTTTGACATTAGCCTTTGAACATTGTTGGTGTCTTCGGAGTAATGCTCCTCTGTGCCCAACGCTACCCCCTCATCATTCCCACACAGAATAAAAGGGAGCATCATGCTGGTGTCCTTACTCTCACATCACTATATTTTACCTCTTCTTCCATCTTCCTTGGATTGGTTGGAACACCTCCTTCTATTTCCCCAAATACTGATCCCACTCTGTCCAATGTGTGGTCACTAGCCACATTTGGCTACTGAATACTTGAGATGTGACTAGTAAGTATGGATATATACTATAAGCATAGAGAATATAAATATACATTGTAGGGCTGGGAATGTGGCTTAGTGGTAAGAGTGCTTGCCTAGCATGCTTGAAGGCCTGGGTTTGATTCCTCAATACCACATAAACAGAAAAGGCCAGAAAAGGTGCTGTGACTCTCAAGTGGTAAAATGCTAACCTTGAGCAAAAGAGCCAAAGCTCAGGGACAGTGCCCAGGCCCTCAGTTCAAGCCCCAGGACTGGGAAAAATAAAATAAATTAAAAATAAATATACATGTAATATAAAGAAATATACAGTCTATATATACACTGATTTCAGATACATTATGGAAATTTAAAATATTAATATTGAATATTATCTATTAATACAATATATATACTTGATGCATGAAGTTAAATAAAATATATTAAAATTCCACCTGTTTCTTTTTATTAATTGTGGTTACTAAAAAAAATTACACATGTGGCTCACATTACTTTTTATTTTGGTTTTTTGAGACAAGAGTTCACTATATAGTCCAGACCACCCTGGAAATTTACATCTTCCTGTCTCAGTCTCCTGAGTGCTAGGTTTACAGGCATTTACCATCATGCTCTGCTCACATTACATTTCTATTGGAGTCTAGTCTAAACATTCTTCAGGCCCTAGCATGAATTAAAGCACCTTTAAGATGCTGTTTCTATGTCATTTTTTTTGTCTTCTGAATTCCTACAAAATCTAACACATAATCAACTGTGCATTTATATTAAGTATCATGCTTATCATTGTTTTACATTGACCCTTCCTATCATATTAATATTATTTTGAGATTCATATTAGGTACCCAACTTTCAATTGGACATGGAATCTTGGATGGAGCAATATAATGATACATAGAAATGTTTTTTGTTTATTTTGCTTTGTTTACTCATCTACTTTCCCCAAACTCAGTTCTTCATTCTTCCTCTAATTCAGTTAATAAACATTATCAAATGTAGTTCATAGTTTATACCTTGTAAGGCCTGCATTGCTTCTCTTTTTTCTTCTTGAAAATAAAGTTTAAAATATCAGGCCAAGCTGGGCACTGGTGTCACTAATCCTAGCTACTCAGGAGGCTGAGGTTTGAGGATCATGCTTCTAAGCCAGCCCAGGCAGGAAAGCTTAAGAGTAACCAATTAACCACCAGAAAACCAGAAGTGGCAATGCAGATCAATGTGGTAGAGGGCTAGCCTGGAACAGGAGGGGAAGAAAACCCTCAGGAACAGCACCCAGGCCCTGAGTTCAAGCCCTGTGACTGACCAAAAAGAAAGAACGAGAGAAAGAAAGAAAGAGAGAGAGAAAGAAAGAGAGAGAGAAAGAAAGAGAGAGAGAAAGAAAGAGAGAAAGAAAGAGAGAGAGAGAAAGAAAGAAAGAAAGAAAGAAAGAAAGAAAGAAAGAAAGAAAGAATACAATATTTATTCAGGTCAAAGCATGTCTGGAGCCATTATCATAATACTAAGACATTATTCTATACACACTCTACAACTGTTTCTCAGAAAATTGTATGGAATACAACCTACTTTTAATAAAGAAAAAATAAATCCATTGCTATTATCAAAAATAGGAAAGGTGGGGAAAATACTTGTTGTATTCTATTAATGGTGGAAGAAAGGCAATGCAAGAGGGAGCTGATAAATGACTCCTCCAAGCTGAAGTCACTTACACATCATACTCAACCCACACCATATTCAATTAAGAGGGTAAAGGAACTGGGGTTCCAAGGCAGAGTAAGTAACTAGCCCAAGTTCATAAAGCTGCAAATGGCAGAGACAGGCTACAAACTCAGGTAAGTTGTAATACCCTTACATGTGGAAAAAAATAATCTCTTTATTATCACTTGAAGATAAAATACGTAAAAATCAAGTGTTACATAAAATATATACATTAAAATACAATAGTGATTACTACTAATTTCCCTCAGTTTCCTTGATTTTGGTTTAATTCCTGTCTCACTTCAAAAGCCCTTTGTTTTCTCAGCAAACTTTATTCTTAAATAGGCAGTGCCCAAAGGTTTACATTAAACTTTATGAATAAAAGTCCTCAGACAAATTGTACAAAAAGTCTAGTCCCTACAGATAAAGATCATAGAAGTAAATAAAGAAATCTTGGCCATTACAACTGCATCAACAACAACAAAATACACCTAAGGAAATCCAAACAACTTCTTCACCTTACAAATCTGAGGTCATAATATGCTCAATGAAATAAGAAGTGTGCTTTATATATATGCACCTTAGAGGAACTATAATTATATGACCCTGAAAATTATCTACTTTCTCACAATGGTAGCCATGGACTGAGTATCTCCATGAAACCAGCTGATCTAGATTTAATTGATTCTGTCTTTATAAAATGTAGCCAACTTATATTTGTAGACTTGGACAGAACAAAGGTTTAAATTCTCTAGCAAAAAGTCCCAAAGTATCAAATGTTTTAAAAATACTGCTCAACTTTCCTTTATCAAAAATGTCCCTATAGAAGGTGTTAATCAGTCACTACCAAGAACCCAGTCACAAAGCAACCTGTGTGCAAGTGTTATTTACTACAGGAAGAGGAAAGTTCAACTCAACCACAAACACCACATTTTGTTTTCAAAAGTCTTGAAACTAATCCCTGTAACAGTAACTGATTTACATTTCATTCCAAACTGAACAAGAAAGTTTTATCTCCAGGAATCTGAGATGGGTAATTTCACTTGGGTGCTGTGTTCTTAGTGTTTGTTTGTTTGTGTTTAGATTTGGAGATTTTTTTTTTGGTTGATTGGTTTGATGTTGCCTGTTTTTTTTTCCTTAATTTGGTTTGTTCGGTGTTTTTCCCCCTTAAATAAGAGTGGCTCACAGATTACAATTATTAATAATTAGCAACTTTTAATCCCATGAATAAGATATTTTAAACTCTCATATATAAAATCAATATACTATATTTTCTCAAGGGATAGCCACATTAAAATTAAGTGATTTAGCAAGGTGCTGGTGGCTCATACTGTAATCCTAACTACTCAGGAGGCTGAGATCTAAGGATCTCGGTTCAAAGCTAGCGCAGGCAGGAAAGTCCATAAGACTTTTATCTCCAATTAACCAAGGATCATGGAATGGAGAAACAGCCTTCAGAAGAAAAAACTAAGGGACAGCACCAGTAAGTATATCCCCACTCCCCCCCCCCCCGCAAAAAAAGAAAAGAAACATAGGGGACTTTTTCTTGGCCTCAAAATGCATATAGATAAGTCTGTCCATAGACAGATTATCAATTCAAACAAAAGTTAAGAGGGGGAAAGATAAGGTGATAAAAAAGGGATAAGAGAGAGGAGAGGAGATGGAAGGGGAGAGGAAAGGAGAGGAGGAGCGGGGAAGGAAAAAAGGAGGGCAAGTTAGGGGAAGAGAAGGGAAGATCACTAGCAACAGACAACTAGAGGCCTGTGGGTACTTCAGACCAAAGAGGAGTGGGTGAGCTTCACCACAGGACAATTCCAGACCCACCTGTGTTCAAGCAGAACCTTCACCCAGAAGGTCATAAAAACAAAAGACAACATGGAACCATGGTTGTCATCCTGCAAACAGCTTCTCTGACCCCCAAGAAAAACCCCCTCCCTCCAAACAGGCAGAGGAGCTCCCTTCACACCAAGATTTTATATATACATATATATGTATATATATGTGATAAATATATAATAAATATATAATATATAATAAATACATATATTTTTAATTAAAGAAAGAAAAGCCAAAGCCAAATAATACTTATATTTTCAAAGGGGGCATAGGAAGACTGCTTGACAGCTAAATTTGGAGAATCAGTCTATTTAGGGGGTTTGTATTCAAAAGTCAAAATTTTAAATAGGAGAGAATGAGAGAGATGAGAGTTCAATTTCAGCTCAAGTTGACAGCACTTAGGGCTCTCAGGTCTACCTAAGGTATCAGCCTCAAATATTAAAACGTTAAAACGTGGGGCTGTGACAGTTCACGGTGTGTGTGTGTGCGGGGGGGGGGGGTGCATGCATGCGTGGTAGTGTGTGTGTGTGTGTGTGTGTGTGTGTGTGTGGTGTGTGCGCGCGCACGCTCGAGGGTGCCTGCCACTTGGGGCTCGGTGTATTTGCCGGGGAGGACAGGGGCTAGTCAGGGTCACCGCTGTGCCTAGCCTCGAGGTTACCAGGCGGACACACACCCAGAGTTAAGTTTCCACTCGGGCACCGCGGCACAGTGCCGGAGGCCAGGCTGCAGCTTTCCCGGAACAATGCCCCGGGGGTCCCCACAGCCGGGACGGAGAGGAGGTCGGAGCCCACCCCATGCCCCGCCCCGGCACCCCCACCCGGTCACCGCGCCCCACCCGCTCCGGGGTCTCGGGGCCGGTCACTGACGAGCGCCCCCCCCGCCGCGCCCCCGGCAGGTGTCCCCGATTCCGGGGCGCGCGCCTCACCCAGCAGCGCCCGCAGGTGCTTCAGGCGGGTCAGCACGTCTTTCTTAGGGTCCAGCACCTTCTGGGTGGACTTTTTCACGTCCCCGTGGCTCCTTCGGGAGAACATCCCGCCGCGAGAAGCCCGAGCCCCGCCGGCGGGGCAGGAGGCGCTGACGGCAGCACGAGAGTCACCACATAAGGTCTGGACCCGCGCGAGTCGTGCTGGCCGCTCGCCGCCCCCCTCCCGGCAGCCGCCACCGCCGCCGCCGCCGCCGCCTCAGCAGTGACTCCAGGAAGGAGGGGCGGGCCAAGCCCGGCAAAGGGGCGGAGCCAGGAAGACGGCGTCGACGCGGAACCGACGGCCCCGCCCCGCGGGAGATAAAGGCCGGCCCCCACCTCCCTCCTCGCTCCCCACCGGGAACGGTGCGCGCGCACAGGGTCAGACCCACCTCACCTGACACCAGCCGGTCTGTTCGTCCCTAGCGGGGACGCGCGTAGAGTCGGCGCCGCGAATCACAAAGAAGCTTGACTCAGATGTATTCTGGACTACAAGTCCCGGGATGCACTATGAAAGAGGCCCTCCAATCAAGTTCGCGAGTCTTTGTCACGCAAAGAGTCGGTAGGGGGAGCTATGAGCACGTGGTCCCGCCCCGCCGTAAGCTGCAAACGCTCCTGGGAAATGAAGTCCGGTGTTGCGCCCTCCTTTCCAGGATCTGGACAGACTGTGTCTTACCTTCACCTTGGGGACCCAACCCGTTTCCCTCTGGTGTAAAAAGAACACAAACAAAAACAAAAAACTCTGTAAAAAAAATTGCAAGCCGTTTAAAATGCAAAGTATTTCTAGGTTTAGCTTATGGATTCATAATTAGGGAGCCAGTAGGTGCCAAAATTGTGATTCCAATTTCACACTAAAATAGCTCCGTTTTGCAGAAGAGAAGACCCCGATGAGGAGTCCAGCCAGTTCCCTAGGTTCCTGAGACCTAATTGCACTTGAAGGACAGAGAACGCTATCTCGGAGGGCACCTCAAGCTCTCGCTTTGTAGGAAGGGTACATTCTATATGTTTTGCAAGACCACAAAGCCTCCAGTAGCAGAACCAGAAATAGAACCTGAGGGACCTAACTCTCGGATAGGTGCCTGTTCCCTGTAGCAACACTTTGAGATGGAAGATGGACAGCTTTTCTATAAGAAAAACATAATATTATATTTATTTATTTACTTTGTCGGTTGTGGGGCCTGAACTCTGGGCCTGGGTGCTGTCCCTCAGCTCCTAAGCTCAAGGCTAGTGCTCTATCACTTGAGTCACAGCGCCACTTCCGACTTTTTCTGCCTATGTGGTGCTGAGGAATCGAACCCTCGGCCTCATGCATGCAAGCCACCTTCCCAGCCCCGTAATATTATTTTTTAGCATATGAGATCCCAAAACCTTTTACATCATTTCAGATTTTTCATCAAGTAGCTGGCTAGAATCACGTGTTCTTCCTCCAAATTGAGACAACCCAACTGTTGTTGTTTTGTTTTGTTTTGTTTTGTTTTACTTCTAGTTGAACCATAACTTGAGGGAAGTGCCAGGAATTTACAAACCATGTATCCTCATCACTGAGGACAACATCTGGATTCTACAAGTACTCAACTAAACTCAGAGTAAAAATCAAAAATAGTTGTAATACCCAGTACCAAATATGTCTCACAGTTGTTAGAAGTTGTGTTTTTAGAGTTGTCAAAACAGCATACTCGTACAATGGAATATTATTCCTCAATATAAAGGAACCGAGACAACTGATAGATTCCAGCAATAGGAATGAACCTCACAGACCAAAAGATGTAATCCCCATACTTAGGATAATGATAAAGCTGCCCTATATAGTGATTCCCCAGATAACATCATAGATCAAGGCCACAAACTCTCCAAAAGTGTATTTATGGATTTTTCTTAGAGGTTTTTGTTTATTTTGTGTGTTTTGTTGTTTTTGGTGTGTGTGTGTGTGTGTGTGTGTGTGTGTGTGTGTATACATGTGTATGTTCTAGTACTGGGGCTTGAAACCAGGGCCTGAGTGCTGTCCCTTAGCTTTTTCACTCAAGGCTGACACTCTACCATTGGAGCCACACACTGAGTTCCAGATTTTTGGGGGTTAATTGACGATAAGAGTCTCATGGATTTTCCTGCTTGGACTGGCTTCAAACCCTGATTCTCAGATCTCAGCCTCCTGAGTAGCTAAGATTATAGAAAAGAGCCACTGGCACCTGGCAAAGGTCAGAGTCTGTTACTGTAGTTTATCATGTACTCTATTACAGTTAGTAGGTTGTGCATTCCCCCATTCCTTTGAAAGAGGATAACTTTCTATACACTGACTGAAAAAAACACATCTTAGACAATTCAAAATTTTTATTCCAAAACAGTCATTTATTATCATCAAACATTTCTTGAGCATCTGCAATGAGATAATATACCTCTAAATCAATGGGTTAAATGATGTATAAAATGTAGACTTGTAGTCTTCAAAGCTTTAGTTGAGGAAGCTGAGCAACTAGACAAGTGAAGAAAAAATGACACTCAGGTATCAAATGACACTCAGGTATATATATATATATATATATATATATATATATATGGTAGGAGTATAAAATGACACAACTCCTATAGAGGAAAATTTGTAAAAGCGTATTATTTGTCCTTTGCCTTTTTCTTCTATGTTATATCTCCACAAATATGAAACCACATGTGGAAGTTCAGTTTTCTCATAATTTTTTGTAGTAGCCAATCTAGTGGGCTAAATAGGGCTCCTTACCTTCGAAGAAATACATCTTTATCTTCATCCCCAAGAAAATGTGGTGGAGACTTTATTTGGCCAAAATGGTCTTTGAATATGCAATCAAGTACAGAATCTTAAGATAAAATCATCCTGGATTAGCTGGGTGCACCTTAAATCTAATAGTAAATGTCCTTGCAGGAAACAGAAAGGAGAAAACATAGGAGCAAAGAGGAAAGACCAAGGCAGAGTTTGCAATGATGTAGCTACAAACCAAGAGACCACCAAAAACTATTAGAGAAAAAAGACTTTTTAAAAAGATGATTCATAAGGCTGGGAATGTGGCTTAGTGGTACAGTGCTTGCTAAGCATGCATGAGGCTCTGGGTTCAGTTCCTTGATACCACATAAATGAAATAAATGAATAAATAAATAATTTTTAAAAACAATTTTGAAAAAAGATGATCCCAAGGAGCCTTCCAAAGAAACCCTGCTGTCATTTTGATTTTAGACTTCTGAATTCCAGAAATGGAAGTAAATAAATTTCTTTTGTTTTAGACTCCAGGTTGTGATCAAGTTTGATAGTGCCTGATTGTCTAAAAGTATATAATTGGAATGTGATACATATTTATACTTCTGGTGTTTCTTTTAGGCCCAAGACCAGGACTTGAACTTGGTACCTGATGCTTTTATTCATTGGCTATTGCTCTACCAACTGAACCATGCCACCAACCCCATATTTAAACTTCTAAAAATGGCTGGTTGAGGGTCATCTGCAACAACATATTCCTATAATCACAGTTAATCAATCAGGAGGTACAGCGGATTGCTGTTAAAAGCCAGGTAACACACAAGACCCTATCTAAAAAATAGCTAAAAGCAAAAATTTGAGGCTTTTAGTTTAATCCTCAGCACTGCAAATAATACCATTTTTAACACCCAAGTCCTTATTTCAAGCCCCAGTACTGGCACCAAAAAAAGTATATTTATTTGCTTATTTTTTAACAGAAACATTTGATAATTTTTAAACCAACATTAATAGCTGGGCACTAGTGGTTCACACTTGTAATCCTAATGACTCAGAAGACTGAGATCTGAGGATTGAGGTTAAAAACAAGACCAGGCAGAAAAATCCAAGATACTCTTATCTCAAATTTGCCTACAAAAAGATGAAAGTGGGGGTGTTATAGAATGCCAGTCTTGAGCAAAAAAGCTAAGCAAAAGCAAAGGCTCTGAGTTCAAGACCCCAGTTGAAGTCACAACGATCCCCCTAGGTGAGATGAAAAGATGGATGGAAAGTGGGGCAGGACTCACTTACTTAACATCTTTTCCCAGTTAAGAATAATGAAAAAAAGCCATTAGAACTGGATGTGGATTTCAAGATTCTAACCAAGGAAGACTGCAGGGCTTTATTATTCTTTCCTTAATTACATGCCAGAAAATCATCCAGTTTCCCTAACAACAATTTAGATTAGGTTGTTCAGAATGGCAATGAAATGGATACTGGTGGCTCACTTGAAATCCTAGCTACTCAGAAAACTTTAATCCAAGGTTCCAAAACTAGCCCAGGCAGAAAAGTCCATAAAATGCTTATCTCTAATTAAGCAGACAGAGCTCGAAGTATAGTTGTGGCTCAAGTGGTAGAGTGCCAGTTCTGCATGAAAAAAGCTAAGGAGCAGTGCTCATGCCCTAAGTTTAAGCCCTCCCACCCCCAAACCCTAAACCCCCAAAACAAAATGGCAATGACCATACAAAGTAGGTCCAAAGAATACAGAATAAGTAGAAATTTACTCACTAGTTCTAGTTACCTGAAATCAGATTGTAGACTTTTTTGTTTTCTGTATACATTTATATGTATATACACATGTATATATACATATGTATGTATAATACATATATATAAATTCAAACCAAACAACAAAGAGTCAACAATCGCTATTGCTAAATTGTAGTTTTGCATTTTTCCAATTGTTTCTGTTGATCTCAAAGTTGATCTTTCAAAGGCCTTTATTAAAACTGGAACTTACTAAATTATTAATATTAAATATTTTCAAACATTTTTACAATTCCTTATTTCTAGGGCTTCTGCTCATCACAAGGCCAGGGTCACTACTCATTCAATATTATGAATTTATTCATTTATTAATATTTCAAACATAGTTAAGAAATATGTTAAATGGTTTTTAACCTAATTAAAAAATATACCCTAGATTTAAATTTTTTTTTTTTTTTTGGCCGGCTATGGGGCTTGAACTCTGGGCCTGGGCGCTGTCCCTCAGCTCTTCAGCTCAAGGCGAGTGCTCTACCACTTGAGCTACAGTGCCACTTCCGGTTTTTCTGGTGGTTTATTGGAGATAGGAGTCTCACAGTCTCTCCTGCCCAGGCTGGCTTTGAACCGCGATCCTCAGATCTCAGCCTCCTGAGTAGCTAGGATTACAGGCGTGAGCCACCAGTGCCCGGCTAGATTTAAATTTTTATCCTATTTTCCCAAGCTCTTTCT